ATATATATATATATAGATATATATATATATATATATGCGTATATATCACGCTGTGAATTCATTGTGATATGAAATGGTGGTTGGCACGACGGATGTTTCGGCCTGCCTGGCGTATCAACAAATATCCGCAAGGTTCTAACCAGCCCTTATTCATGCTAATCGAATTTGAACACGGTTGATTTTTTCAGCTCATTTCTGTTTGGTTAAGTTGTTATTCGGAGGGTCACGTCGCTTTGAATCCCTGCAATTTTCACTGATGATTTCAACTGGATTCTCGTTTTTCTCGTCATTGCCTCGAACGACGACTAATGTGTTTAGTTCGGAACCACCGGTGTGCGTGTACTGCAGTGTTCACACCTTTTTACTCCTTCACTACTACCAGGTTGTTCCTTACCTTTTCTAATCCTTTTTCTTCTAGAACCTTCCCGGACACTTTTGAACCGGAAGCACTTATTCTGCGTTGTCGTCAGTTGTCAGCCAAGTTATCAGAGGATCTGAAAGAAGAACATGTCAAGGTAATTCCATGCTTCCACTCGCGATATGTGAGGTTCCCCATGCTTTTGAGGCAAACTAAAATTGATGAATGATTGTCCGCATTTTGTTCCCTCGTGGTCTTTGTAGATCTCATTTGTGGGCTGTGCATTTCATCACGACTTATGAATGTCAGAGTTCAAGTATCAATAGCGTTTTCTTACAGCGTGTGACTGAAGCTCCCAGTTATTTCCAGATCCAGCCATCATTGCGCTGATTTCGGATGTTTTAACTTGTTCAATAACCAGTTCTCCGTAGTACGTGTCTCAGGTAGTTCAGTTCATGCGCCCGCTACACCTTCCGGACCTTAAGGTGACATGCGTCCTCTCAACTCTTCCAAAACATGCCTTGACTCTGCTACTGGTCGTCAACTGACTCTATATAAACGTCTTTGTCATCTTAGTAGGCCAACATAACCTTGAACACATTCAAATCTGGATCCATGGTTTCTTTAGGAATACTAGGAAGCAGATGCCTGTCGAACAGCAAGAAGTTATATTCGCCGTTGTCAATGTTTTTGATTCCTTCCCGAGTGGAACTTATGCATGAGCACTTAGAAAGTCGTTCAAAGTCCCCATGGAATCTTCTGATTCCATCACTGTGGCTATTTTCTGCTTGGGACCCCAGGTAGTCCACAAAGATATGCGGAAACTTTCACGCAAATTCACCGTGGTTGTTATTAGTGATGATGCGACCTATATTAATCCCCTCTGTCGCTTTTGAGTTACTTTCTATTGACCGTTTTAGGAATACTGAACCTCCTATTATCTCTATCCGATCATATTCACATTCAAATGCACGAGTGAGGTCGTGCAGCTCAACCTGAATTCATTTAGTTATGGCATCAGTAGAGCTGATTGACAATGTGACTCATGCCATCCACTCGCTAGATACCTGTATTTCTTGCGAGAGAGCTCCCCTCTGTTTCAGCTGTCTGTCATTGGGTTGGACCCTCGAGATCCGCACTAGCTGGCCTGCTCTAAACTACCTCGCACTTATTTCACCTTCTCAACACACAGGGTCGTTCGCTCACTTTGAAGTTAAAACTTGATACGTTCGAAAATCGTTCACGTTCTCAAATGCTCCCAGACTATACAAACGATGCGGAAATTATTGCAACATTCGCGACGGAAATTTTGCGTGAGGAGATGGCCAACGAGAGAATGGCGGTACCCGCAAACAAGCAGGTAGCATCCACAAGCAAGCGGCAACAACCTACTGCTCGAGCAGAACCAAAAGCTCTCACCTTGCGACTCATGGGTAAGTTATCTATTTAACTTGTACGTCATTCCCATGTCAAACTGACCACTAAAACGTTTAGGCTTTTTGCCCTAGACCGCACCTACTTGTCTGATGTACTGGACTCACTACAGTCACCCTGTGAGGGGAGACCGCTGAGAAGAACAGTAAAACACTGTTCCTTTCTGGATGGATTTTTATTTGATGAAATGGATTTGTTTGATCGTAACAGGTCGCGCAGAACCACACAAGGAATTGGTAGGCTTCCTACAGTGATTTGATGGGTAATACATGGTCGGTGATCCCCCCAGCTCTAAATTTCGTGCTGATTTCTCCAATCTTCACCTTAGAATTTCGGTATTCTCGAAAACAAACTCAACGAATTTCTCAGTTGTTTGCATAGCACATTTCAATGTCTTCCTGGTTCCACTTCGTAATCCGCCTCCATTCTCTTAGTATTCAATCAACTCCATACTCAGGTACACAATGTCGTCCAACAAAGTATTGTGGCTGGCCACGAAAAACAGTCTTGCGATATCCGTTGGTTATTTTAACGTTCCGTTTGCAGTTTTTAGTAGATAACACTGCAACATGTTTGGCACAACAAGCTTTCGTAAAATCTTAACAATATTGTAGCCGTTTTTAGGTGCCCAGCACAACCCGCATTGCAATATCTTCAGTTCGTTTACTTGCTGGTTTTGTTGCCTTCCCTTTTCATTGTTCATCTACATTCATACCTAGAATAATTCGTGAGGATAATTGATTTCTTAAATGAAGGGCTGAGGAAGATCCGTGTAGCGTTCTGTGATGCAATGTGAGCATGAGCATCGAGTTTATCCAGGGCTTTGAGTTAGGGGCCGGTGTTCACTTTGAACTCCTGCTGCTCCCAATAACATGTTGGTAATATTCTCTCCAAACTCAATTGGTTGGAATTCGTCAGTAATGATTGTTTTCCCTGATTCGCGCCAGCCCGGCAGTCCGAAGTTGTCCAAATTAAAGCAAAAGAACATCTGAGCACAACATGGTCATCATACCTGAAACCAGTGTGATCGCTGGCTACGGGAAGGCATTTGACTGTGTGCTACTTTCGAAGCAGTTGTGAGCAGGATTTAGGTAGCATCAACAATGAATTGAGGACAAACTGAGTCCATTATGTCGATATTATCGGTAGTATCTTTCGCGTTCCACCCATATTGTTGTCCGTGCTAACTGATGGGAATGGACACTTGGTCCGCACATTCCTTCAAAAGTGGTAGGAGCCGTGTAGAGCTCAATAGTCTCATATAGCTCGCGTTTTCAATCAACTGTGCCATATGAATTCGGGTACCTTGAACCACCTATCCAAGGATGTACGTCTGGTATTTTTCATGGATTGTGGCCATTTTCACTGTTTTAAGTGTTTTGAACACTTTTATCCTTTGGTAAAATGGTTAAAACATTGTTAGCTTCATTCTTCCGTACGATGTTTGTATTTTTTTCACGTCAAGATATCGTGAATGGATAGTGACTTTGTTGCGTCGTTTCGAAAAACGCACACACACACTAAATGTTCTTCACCTTCGTAAATGTTATTTATCTAGCTCGGATACTGGGTAGAGGTGGCCCGGACTGAGGTGTTCACCACGCGCCCATGTTTGTCTCCACTGTCTTTCCAAACTATGCTATCAGTCTTCACCTTTCTCTTTTGATCTCTTAGGATGGAACTGAAACAGTATATGATCTGGTGAAAGATCCCTTCCTGGAATTTTCTAACCAGTGAGATGATCTTCTAACTAAGTGAATTCTTGAAGTTTTGTTTTTTCAGGAAGAAGTAACTTAGTCTTGCGAAAACAGGCATTTTTAACCAACGGAGCTACAATTAAACAGTATACTTCTGCGTTGCGTTTCTTGAGGACTGGTGTGCTGTTTAATGAGCTCTCCGCACCGTACCACTTTTTCATTCCCAATTAGGTCTTCGAATGTCCAGCTTGCTTCCAGCCGAAATGTGTCCACAGATCCGACAGCGTAGCCTGGAAGAGGCGCTCGCACATGTTGTGGCTACGAAAAAGTTGAATTTCGAACCAGTTGATAATCAGCCTGATGAGTTTGATCGCACGGCTTGTCCTCAAACGACGGCGAAGCAAAGTGGGAACACTGGATCGGCTGGGTTGACAACAAGGAAGATGAAACCCACAACTTCGCGCACACGGAAATCTGACAAGTCAGTAGGCGCTTCGGTTAGTCATTTAAGCCGTTTTTATGTACATATCAAACAGATTTCATTTTCTTTCTCGGCAACAGAATTTGTGGGCATTTTATAACGTGCCATAACGTGCTATTCATAAATTTGCTGAAAACTATTCAACAGCCCCAAGCGGGCTTCGACCTTCCTGGAGCTCACCAGATATGCGCTGTCCTCGAGTTTCCGTCAACCTTGTCTTCCACCTGAACACAACTTGCACGAAATTAGTCATATACACTCATTTACATGCCGACTTGGTTTTCAAGGGAATCGCAGATGAATTTATCGTTTACGATGTTCCTCAACTGAATGTGCCGCCGAATGGACGAAGCTGATCGTTGGCTGTCAAAGGGTTTTCAGCAACCTTTTGAGTAGTGCGTTACGCCTATACGATGTTTTGTATATACAATGCATTATCCCAAATGACCTACCAAGTGGAACATGAGGCAGCCTTGCGAAGCACACTCAGTTGAGGAGGGACATCACAAACCAGAGATTTAGCTGCGATTCAGACTCGTCCACTGTGAAAGCCGCATTGGCATGCTAATGAGTGCATTTATGAACGTTTTTTTAGAGGGGCATACTGAAATTGGTCTATGCGAATGTCTCAAAAACCGAACGATTGTAGTAGCAGCCTTTCAGTTTGGCCGGCGGTTGGAGTAGATGAGTCTTTTGATCGGCGATGTTCACACAAATCATCACAAGGCGCGTCAAGATTTAACCTCCCACATCATGGCACTGGTGAGCCTATCTCAGTGCTAACACCTACTTTTGAGGGAATGCAGCCCAATAACAACTGTAAAAAAGTATTTTCCAAACTAAGTGGTCATGTGTGAAAATGTCCGATATGATTAGAGAATTTTCCCGGTGCACGTGATCTATTGTCGGACTATAGAGGAAAATGTCGGTAGCTCAGATAGCTTACATGGTGGTCGTTGGCTTGTTCGCTGAGCTGGGCAATTTGATTGCAGACGTTTCATCACCAATCGAGATGACATCATCAGTGCGTTATTGGGAAGCGTAGGGGTGCGTAGCGGTGGGTTGTGGTGGTGGCACAACCACACAAACACATGATCACTTAGTTTGGAAAATACTTTTTTACAGTTTTTATTGGGCTGCATTCCCTCAAAAGTAGGTGTTAGCACTGGGATAGGCTCTCCAGTGCCATGACTTGGGACGTTAAATCTTGACGCGTCTTGTGGTGATTTGTGTGAATGTCATCGATCAGCGAACAAGCCAACGGCCACCATCTATTGTCGGACTCCACAGAATATTCACTGAATGCCTTCAGCTTTTCAGGTCGAAAGCTAATATCGTATTCGTTGTTTCGGCATTTGACACTTGGAACTGATCCCGCGTTCGATTTATACTGAGCACGATACTGACGGAGCTCAAAGTGCATGTACAGAAAGTCACCTAAAATGGAGTGCAGGCGGTCAAAATTTCTGGACCTTACTTTATTTTGTCAGATTGTGGGGCACTGTCAATTTTAACTGATATACTATACCAGTAAGAATGATCTTAAAACATCAGTCACATATAACAGTTAGGAATTTCACCGCAGTTCATATTTTGGGCGGTCCAAACTATCCCCGTCAAGTTGCTCGAAATGGTGACGTTACACATGGAAAAAAGTTGAAAAACTGGCTCTCAGCTTACTGGTTTCAGCTTCACATCATCTACAGAATGCAGCAACGGCGGAGTGAAAACAGAATCTCATTGTGGAGATTTCGTCCTGCAAGTGAAGCCAATCTATGCTGAAAAGCCGAGAAGCACTGTACAGCTGTTTCATCCTTATTGGGAATCATCAGCAGTGCGCATCTCACGAAACTCAGAAGAGTCTCGAACCCGCGACCTCCCTGCTAGTAGTTTGAACACTTAACACTTACTGACAATCGCTTTTGATGGTCCGAATAGCCTTGAGACGTTCTTGATTTTGACTGGCAGTTGCTACATTGTGAAAAGTGGAGTGACATAAAGTACGGTGTTGACAGCTTATCGTGGGGAGTTAAATTTTCTCAAGGAGTTTCCGAGCACTTTTTATCTTAAATCTGGAACACGCCAACTGCGAACTGTGGTTTCCTTAAAAAGGGGTTTTATGCCCCTGAATGACGTCGGAATTGTTGTTTTTAACATCCACATAGACGCTTTTGGAATTACTCATCGACTCTATCTCTGCGTTATATACGGGTTTTTCACTAATTCAGACTAATTTGGTCTTTTTACAAAGCCTCAGTTGATTGTACTGCGGCAGGATCACCGAACTTCGTCCACAACATCGCAGCTCATTGTGTTCGGTTTTATTTTGCTTCAGGTCTAAGTCACCGACCCGTGTGAAATGGTCTGTTTGTTCTGGCATGCTAAGTTCTTTGTTTTCTTGCTCCCGCGTTGTGCGGTGGATTGGAGAGCTGAGCCACTCTGTTTGAAACTACGGTTTTATGGAATAATTTCTAAATACCATCATTGTTCCTATGCCACGGCACACTTCAAAACCTGGAGTCACTTGATTGGTCAATGTCACAAACGGATTGCGTTTTCATCTGCAGGTTTTCTTGCAAGAAACTACCATTCGACTCACAAACTGACGCATCTTCCACGATCGCTAGCCAGTAATCTTAATCTCCATCGCACGCACAATTTACCAATGAGAGCGCCTTGCATCATTGTCCAGACGCTGTATCCAAATAGACGATTTCGTTCGTATCATCTCCTGATCACCAGTCAACCTATATCTGGTCGTATCTGGCGCGGATTAGTATCAGCTAGGTCCACTCGCCTCCCTTCTTGAAAAGGGCAGTTAGACGCCTGTAACTGAAAACACCACTTGCAGTTATTTAGTTGCCGCAAGACAGTTCGCCACATTCGGATGCCCCTGAATCCCAACACTGATCGTCAATAGTCCTGTTTCATGGTTGAACAAATGCACTTATTTGTGATCGGTCCATTTTCGGACATGCGTACGTCGCTGCTTCAACACTTGAATGCTGAGCACTTCTGACAGCGGTTCCTCTGTGAGGTCAGATACGTGCCACAAAAACGGTTTCCGCAACCTGTCTCCAAAGGGCTCTGACCTTAACTCGTAGCATCGACACTTGGTACGTGCTTTTATGATGGTTTACGAACGATAGTTCAGTGGTATTTTATTTAGGTTGGCCTGGTTTCGCACTCCAGAGTCTTCATTCACATAGTCCGTCAGTTCACGGAAGACGTTCGCAAGTTTCGAATGTAACACGTTCATGTGTACACTAGTTTGGTGTGTGCGATCCGCATTCCATGCAACGTCACCTCGTCATCTCTTACTAAAAAAAGCTTTCTTCTTAAAGTCTTGCTCACCCGAAACGGCTAAGTGGTGCAACCTCTTATGGCCTAGCTCAACCAGCGGACCAGCTAAACAAATAGAAAATCAAAGAGAAATGTGTTCCATTTAGACAAATGAAAGGGCTAAAAACGTTAAAATGTACTTGTAGGATCTCACCGATGTTGACTCACTCACCACTTACTTGCTCATCACAAGAATTAGTTGTCTGGTGATGCGAACAGTTGCATGTGAACATTTTCACTGCGACGTGTGGCCTAGAACAGTTACAATTTATTCAGCAACACACAAATGATCTAATCAGATGAGATAATGTCTCCGACACACATTATACAGATGGTAGATAGAGTATATTTTCGTGTGCGGAAGAAAAATTCACTGCAAACGGATGCGTCGTGGAAGAAGGATCGGAAAAAACTGCTCGTAGTCAGGGTAGTTCGTAGTCCAACTAGGGCAAAATACATGCTACGGTATACTTAGATACAGAATGAGTAAATTAGTCATGTGGTAATGGTCAATTTGTTTTGGGTTCGATAGAGGTGGACGACGAAGTTGTCATCTGTGTTGGGGCTGATAGATCTCAGTGGCTTTTGCTTCTCCGGATTTGGACAAAATTCGGAGCGCAGTTACAGGACCTACCACGTAGTCGGTTTGTTTGAGGGGCTGGTTACTGTAATCTGTGCTTTTCTCACCGAATGGTTGAATGCCCAGAAAGGAACACATCCAAACAAATATCTGTCCAGTGCCTCATTATCCAACTCACGAAGGTTGCACCTACAGATTTAATGGAACTGCTATAGTATGTCGGAGTTGGTGAGGCGATGCACCGGACCGTTTTCTGTCGTCGTCGAACTCGCATTGTTACAAGACGATGTTTACTAGAGCAGAAGTAGTATCACCGATTATCTTCGCTGTCGAGCATCTTTCGGTACCCCGGGTGTTCAGCACCTGTCAGTGAACCGTGCCGGGTAACTGATGATCTCTAGTACATCGCGCATAGCATTCAGATTTACCTCTGAGGACTGTCGAACTTACTGTGCCGTGCTTCATAAGTGCGAAATTACCTCAAAAAAAGTTTTATGCTCCATTTACTACTGGACATCGTGTATCTCGCTAGTGTACTCTTACAATGCCTTTAGAACACTAAGCCCAGGAATTGATACAGCTTTCCTGGTCAGACTCAGAGGGGAATTTTATATTTGGATGAGCCTGAATAATGTACCATCTAGCTGCTTTCGTCACGCCACATACAGATGTACCTTCTGTAAACAGACAGCCGGCGATCATGTCGTGTAGTCTTGGATCCAGGTGCACTGAAGATCCTTCGTCAACTGGAGCTACAAAGTTTCGTGTTGCTGAGTGAACTATAGCGATTTGGCCACATCGCCATCGAAATCATTGGGCGCAGTTTTTTGCGTTGATTTCCCCTAATCTGCCAAACGTATCTGTCCCACGTCCTAAAGGTGACTGATGAGTTACGAATTGAGGGTCACCGACGTTAAAATCTCACATGGTTACTGTAGTCTTTTCACATCCGTTCAGTAAGGTTTTCGGGTCATTGCATTTACGACTGCGCCCTCAATGGCGCTCGTGCATCCAAGCTATTGCCTTCAATGCATAGCTCCTTTTCCAACCCCTCCCCCACTTGACAGCCCACTGACAGTGCTGGATTTATGCACCAATTTATCAGCTCCCGCCTGCAATGCGCAGCTACCTCCCCCTCCCTCCAAATCATCGGTGAACGAAACTGCGGCAGCTACAACCACTGTACGACGAGTAAGCGGTTATTACAGCTGACGATGATGATGATAATGCATTTACGACTGACAACCTCGGTGTAAAAAATGCCCGATGAAAGGTGAATACGATATTTCTTAGACAGTGCGTCAAGAATGACGGAGTTCCGAGACATCATTTCACTGATGACGACTGCGACTGTGTCCATAAAACTCGGAACACGTGACAGAGTCAAATCGCAGAGGTGAATTAAGACGTGTTTACTCTGTTTCTTCCATATCATTTTTATATGGCCCGAAACAATCTGTCCTCTATCACTTCAAATTATGTTTCTGTGTGAATTTTACGTCCAAAGCATGAGTGAAACGGATGAAGTTGGATGAGTCATAACTATCCAGTGAAGCTAAGTTTTTCACTGGTGAGGCCCATCGACATATCCTCTACCTACCAGAGCTTAGTCCTACCCGAAAGCAGAACGAATTCATTTCCATTGGTCAGATATTCGACATCGATCCTACCATCGATCCTATCTTCAGTCAACCCAAATCGCTAAAGCCTAATTGGAATGGTGCAGTCGGTCAGTTGAAAATCAGACTAAATGTGAATCTGGAAAACTGGTTGGACAAGATAGTTCATTTACAAAACAACGTATCAATCTTCTCGAAGCCTTGCGAAACAACCATGATCTCTTCCCAACCAATCCTGCACTGATGGCATGGAACGAAACGTTTACAGTCCAGCTGCTAAGCTCGGAAAAAAGTTGAATTCATTCGGCTGCGAACAGTTTCCCCACATCTCTGTCACAACGCATCCGTCCGTTGTTTTTTCTGCGCTTCAAAATGTACTATATTCGTCATTCTCCTGCTGTGTATCGTGGGCGTGATCTTATCTGACTAGACCACATCAGTATGCGTTTCTGAATAAATTGCAACCAATCTTTACCATGCACCGCTGTGGAAGTGTTTACAGACAATTGTTCGCGTTACTACGCAACCATCCAGTATGATGTTTATGGAGACTACTTTGTAAAGTTCAAGTGTGTTTCAAGTGCATCCTATTGCAATATCAGTTTCGACTTACCGATCTCGATCACTGTCGCCAACAAACTCACTATTTTGCCCTGTTGCCTCGGACCTCATTTCATATTTATAAAATTTTTCTCGCTTTTTTTCGGACATCAGTGGATTTTGAGAAAGGACCTTTTCGTTTGTTTATGTCACTATACGTGGGGGCGATCCTCTTCAAGTAACGCACACCCTGAGGAAAACTATCGTGCTAAAAGCCTTTTCTATCAGATTGATACAGATTTTTCTGTTCTTGGAGGCGCAGTCACCAAAGTGGTCGCGATTTTTTGCAGTGGGGTTATCGGACTCCACCTCGCAAGTTCGAGCTAGGGGAGATTTATTGTTAGGTCGTTCTTTGCCGTACAGAACAAGTTGCCCTTAGCTGGACGGCATGATTGAGCTTGGGTCTACCAACAATCATGAGCAGTGATGTATGACTTTAAAGTGCTTCGAACAAATCAGTCGTTCCAAGCCGTTCTCGTCCTTCGATGGCAATTTTCTGGCTGAAATCAAACAACACTCGTCTGACTTACCCATTTTTACACACTGCATGACCGATTGTTACGCGATTCGGGTCTGTCTCACAACTGTGTTGTTTTGTTCCACTGTTCAGCGATTGTTACGCGATTCGGGTCTGTCTCACTGTTCAATGCCAAAGGCTGTTGGGTTGGCTAAATATCCGGTCATTCGGTATTCCAACACAACTTCGCCACATATTAACTCTACTCTTCTCAGCCGCGAAACACAAAGCATGCAGGTTACAAAGGATATGAGAATAGCTCGACATACCTCTAACATGACTGGTCCTTCTTGGCTAGTTTAGATGCAGTGTAGCCTCTGTATTTAGGTTGAGGGGAACTGCTACCCGGATCTGGGTTTTAAAATCTGTGCGAAATCACGCTCGCATTCGATGACATTATTCCGGTACAATGACCAAACGTGCATGCAACTATTTTGGTGACTGTGAAATAAAATAAGCGTATGAATTCGTGAGAGAGAACTCCGTAAACCTTTTTGTTACGGGTTTGCTGTCCAGTACGACTTTCGTCTTCCTAAGATATATCCTACAGTGTCGACTGTGACGAAAATACACCCCGTCTTCTTTTGGCAAGACGCTGTTGGTTTTCTGTGTTTTGTCTACCGACTTGTTATTAGTGTCTATGAAAAGCTACACAAGTCTGGTGCTTTTTGCCGTTCTGACAACAGAGTTACTATCTGTCCGCTCTACGAAGCTTCTCCACGCGATGCGTCTTTTTGGAAACAGCTTTTTGTGGACGTATGGTTTCCCTTAGGCACTAACAATACAATAGACTGAAGATACTCTCGCCTTCTGTTTAGGTCGGTTAACTACGATGGATTTTTCTCGTTTTTGTGTGTTTCAGATCCTGTCTTGGACACAAGTGTCAAATGTGAAGGACCTTGCTACATCCTCCACGCAAGATGACAACATTTTGGATTCACGAGCCATTATCCTCACTTGTCCAGTGTGCAACGTAGTACTGAAGCTTCCGTCTGAAGAAGAGGTTAGTGTTTAATAAATTCCAATGAATTAGATTGGAAATCCAGCACGGAATTCAGCAGTAGTAGACATTGATTTGACACACTTGTTCACTTCATTATATCATTTGTGTCACGCTTTGACCACGATACTTTCTGGCCGAGACGTCAGCTGACCGATACAACAATGTGGCTACCTTAAATCGGAAAGCAGACTTGCGATTCCACAATTTCGAGTGGTTGGGATGAACGTAAGTTGTTAGCCTTTTTCCAAGGTATTGATAAGGTTTCAATGTTCCTATTTTCAAACCCAGCGTAAAGCTACCTTCCTTTGTCGTCTAATCTTCTGCGTATCCATGTTTTGTGTACATCCACCAGTGTGGTAATTCTCTCAGCAAAAACCAACCTGTTGGATGGGACAGTCGGATCCCCCCTGCGGTGTGTGTTGTAGCTTGCTGGACGGTAGTGCAACTCTGTGTCGGTCCCTTGGCTTCCTGCTCCGCCCACTACGGTATATCAAAAGGTACGGTAGCTCTACACAGCCCTGTATGGAGTCAAAGGAAAATTATTACAGCTGTATTTATAGGGTAGTCACAGAATGTTCCACAAGGTCGTGCCAGAATCTCCGTGAGGGGGCGAGAAGCGTCGAGTCACGGGTGCTTGACTCGGATTGGCTAGCAATCTGACCAATCAGGGCATGCCTTCGTTTGGCCCGTGTCCTGCACGTGACACATCCGTCCAAATGATGTGATGTTCGGTTATTACGGACGGCTGGCCCCCGAACAGTATGGATGGTCCTGACATGTGTTGTGTTGGAGACTCTGATTGGTGCTACTGTTGCACACCCATGGCAGTAGTCTTTAGTCAAAGAGCTTCATCATAAGAGGATTCTTCCATTGTTTGGGTGTTCTTTGTGTACACTCACTCATAAATACGCGATAAGTATGTGCATTAGCACATATGGCTCTTTGGCCGACGCGGTGTGTGGTGGGATCGTTGCACTCCCCACCTAAGGGCGAAAAAATAATCGGCCTTCTGCTGTCGCGTTTTATCTTTACTGCTCAGATGCAGTGAAGAGTATTCTTATATAGTTAGGGAAGTAATTTAGGTTTTTTCTTTGAATTTCATTCTTCAAATGAAAGTGAACTCCTCCGAAATACCGAGGGACTTCGCAAAACCAATTCATTTTTCCCCAGGGGTTACTAGGGCTTTGTATCTCCCAATTCTTCTGGTTAGGCGCTCCATCGTCATTCGGTTCTGCCTTGTATACTGCCCGACCGGATAATTTGTCCTCAGATAGGCTGTTGCGCCACTTGTCATTCTTCCATACATTGTCCCACCTAATCTTTACAACTCTTTGTCGAACGTCCACGCATTTCTCATTTTCACGTACAGTTGAGACAAAATGCTGAGTACGAGCCCAACTTGGTGCGTTCCGTGACATGTTTGCCAGCGAACCAGATATCGAAGGTCCTATAATTTTCGCAACACAGTGGTGTACTTTCTAACCTATGAATATCTTCAGTGACAGAAAGGAAGCCTTTAATAAAGGACCTGATGGTCTGACGCTCTATTGGGATGATTTGAGTACAGTCTAATGTACGCTTGGTATTAGGGGTGTTCCGAGGAAATGGAGTAACATGCACTTTCGCATTTTAACTTTGCACGCTGACAGTTTACTGGAGTTTCTGCAAACTATATTTTCAGCACATTCCGCTAGCGCTGCAAAATTTGTTGTATAAGTAGATTGATTAGATAAGTTTATCTGCGTAGCCTGCAGCTCTGGACCACCTTAATTAAGAGAGAAGCCGTTGCTCAGGCGAGCATACGAGTACGGTTACGCCTGCGTTTCAAATTTACGAAAAGTTAGGGGTAGCAGAGGAACGCTACATTGTCATAATCCGACGTTGACCTGTAGTATTTTTACAGTGTTGAAATCATAATACTATAAGCTATGCGGGCCGTTGAAATAGGCCCATTTCCGAATGAATTTGGTGGACTCAGCCGAATCCGAACTGAATCTCTTGTTTCATGATATTCTCCAAGTGGCTCTACTGCACGTAGACCGCCTTAGGTATTCGAGATATCGGAATATGTTTTCTTGACTGAATTCACTACTCCTAGGTTTGCTGAAAAGCCTTTGAGATCCCACGATCGCTTTTGCTGTCCTTGGAGTTCATCAGGCAATTGGACTGCAACTGCCGTCAACCTTGTGTACCACGTAAACATCCATTTGGATGGACTTGGTCTCGATAGGGCAGAAAACGGCCCTGGGCTGTCGAAGAATCTTCAGTAACCTGATGAGTAATCTGTTTAGGCTAGGAAATATATTTGTTGTTCTTAGTTCTTACTGAATGGTAGTGTGTAGCCTTGCCTGAAAACGTCTGCGTCCACCTGTATCAGTGTGGCCCGAATGGAGCGTTCTTATCCTTATGCACCGCCGTGTTGATCATGGGTTAGCTTTCGTTTGGGAAACTTGGTCGTTCGGAATTCCTTGTTTTCATTCAAAGAACGCATTGTGGTTTGGAGAACTGTCAGCATCATCGCTAGTCCGTCTTCAACTTGATGACTCCATGTCGCCAATCAGGTCATCCTAACTTTGGAGAACTGTCAGCATCATCGCTAGTCCATCCTCAACTTGATGACTCAATGTCGCCAATCAGGTCATCCTAACCGATTTTGTCCGGCAGTGGATTGATGGCTACTTCATACAACGTAGTCATAAACATAAAATCCGGTGTGATTTTCCAGGTGTATGAACTTACTCTGGCATTAGAGTGACGTGTGAAAATGTTTTTGTTCTTGTCCTGATTATGGGATAAACTCGTTTAGGTAGAACAGTGCACTATTGCCACAAAATGGTCCATGTAGGTCCCTCAGTAGGAATTGCATGCGCTCAATGGCTTGTACATTCTGGGGAACAGTTCGTGGGTGTGCAGTAGGGGTGCATTTTTCATGTTGAAGAAAGGATTTTGCTTGTAGCTCATGCACGGTTGTTTGACGAATTCAGCGGATTGTCGCAACTACTTGTTTGGCGGATCACTTTTTGAGTGCAATCGGCGAATCATGATGACACGTTTCGATTGGATTGTTTAAGCACGAATTCGTAGGTGAGGTCTTTCATACAACAGATCTATAACTATACATCTGAACTTCTGGATGGTAGAACGCATGAATGGACAAGTGAATAAATAAATGAATGTATAATCACATGACTCGTTTAAACAGTCTTCTCTCTGTCCTGGAGCGGTCATTCTGATGAGTCCATACCAGAAGGAGGGTAAAGCACTGAACTCGAGTTTCGCTCCTATTAGAACTCATCAGCAGTGCATATCCATTGGCCATGTCAGGGTTTGAATTCCGCATACATGACTTGCGAGGCGAGTGTGTGCGCACCAGCGTACCGGATGTGAGTGGAACTCCCGACGCCTGGAACAACGACCCGCAGATGCTTTAAACCTGCTGGAGCGAATAGATAACTAGATAAATAAACATGTGAATAACTACAAAAGTGAACGAACGGGCAACTTGAACGAATGGATCGTTACTCACATGGATTCAGAAGTGGAGCACAGTTGCTCCGACTTCAAACAAGCAGTCATCGGCATATTAAAAAATTCTGACGAATTGGACAGCTGGAAACTCATCGGTGCGACGTGATAATAGAATCACAGAATCACAAATTACGCACCGGTTTTGCCGGAGTGGGACAAAGTACACTCGTCCAGTCTTGTTTGCTGTGAGCTGGGGGGAAACAAGCGGCCGGTAAACAAAGTGAAGGTAGAGGATTCAGACAGTATAACGGCTGTGGGAAACACCGAGCAACATAAAACTTTCCATTATCCCAAATTGACTTTGTACAAACTAACTGAAGGTGACTTTGCTTGAAGGCTACTCTTAAAATCAGAGCATTTTTTGTTCAAACGATGCTCGTCTGTCTGAGATGGCTTGACGCGTTGCATTGAAAATTTTGCTTTAGTCGATTCATGCTCAGTAATGTTTTGGCGTCCGCTAAGCTGTCTGATTTGTTACTTTGGAGTAAGTCGTCCCGAGGATTATCTACTTGTACCACTCAGCAACGTTTTCCTGGTGGTCCTGCTCATCATGTTTTCAAGCGAACTAATGTCCGCTGTTTCGGCAACTTGTACGGTCGTATGTAACCTTTGGAGACGCAAGTTAAAAAAAGTGACGGACCACTTTCCATTGTGTCTAATCGAGTGTCCATAACGACAGAATCATTGAGTATGTGGAAGCAACATTTCTTAATGCATTTAGAAGGCAGCTTTTGTCCACAGACTGCGTCCGGGTGTCAATATCTGATGTGGACATCACTCTGCGTAGTGGAAAGTCCCGATGAAAATATTTGAGAAGCTACCAATGAAATTCGATAGCAGTTCACTCCTAACTGCCTCACAAGTGTAGATTTTGCAACATCTTTACTTCAAATGACATGCTGTGCTCTTACGAACTGACAGTCTCAAATAACCGAGTCTTATGCATCCCGCAGTGTTAACTCTACTATAACCAAATATGAACACAGTACACAGAATAAAACTCATCGCAGCACTTGAAGTGATGTTTCCGGTTTTTCCAGTGTTACGCTTTTTCTGATGCTGTCTATTACTTTGACCACAATACTACAGCTGTGCCTTACACTCACTGCTAATCCTGAATAATGGTGTTCTGTTCACGGATAAATACCTGTGGATATCAAGAGTTGGTCCTTCCCTGAGGGACTGACTAACATGGACCATCTCCGACCTGCTATGCAGTTTTCAGGTTTGAAATTTCGGTTAATTGCAAATATTTCCAACATCTGAAATTTCTCACGCTTGAGTGAATGTCTAAGATTCTCATCGTCTCTGAACAAATTGATTTGTAGCGTGTGGTAATGCGCGAACTTGATTAGCCTCGACAGTTTTTATAAATTGATAATTAAAAACGAGCACTGCATGTGCTGTCTCGTTTACTTGAATGGAAACGTGAAAACGTCTACTTCGAGAGACCATCCGGAGAGGACATCGCAGAAGAAAAATTCCTCGGCAGTTTCCGATTATTTTGCAATGCGGATGCATTATTCTATATTACTGTCAGTAGTAATATTATACTATAAGCGCAGGACTTGCATTTGCATACGTTTTATTTGTAACATCTCATTTCGCTATGCGCCTTTCATATTTTCCGGTTTGCGAATATTGTACTCACTCCACCTTAATTAACACCTAGTGTACTGAGGATCAGCATTCGGGTGGAGAAGGCTTTTCCGTACTTGCCTTGAGGTACTTTTCATGCCGGATTCACTAATGTGCCTAATAGCTTGAAAACAATCATAGTAAACAAACCGCAGTAATCTATCATTGGCATAGTTGAAATGATTACGAAACCTTTTTATCTAACCGTACCATTTATTAGCCTAATGCATGGTCAAATGGATGAGCATCTGAATATCACGCCCTTATGCGTGTCACTTTTCCGCTGTTAAGTGAATGGTACATTTGACAGAGTCCATATATATATATATATATATATATATATATATATATAATATTCATATTGTCTATTGAACGNAATTGTGGACGTGTAGAAAAAGATATATGTAAGACACATGAAGGTGGAGATAAGGCTCGTTTGATACAAACGGCATAAATATGGAAACTATCGTTTTTCTCGCTTTTCAGTACAATATCGACTCAAGCGCTTGTAAAAAGGGATAACGATTCAGCTGGCATCACACTACGATTCTCGAGCCACCTCCACACAAATATTGCGTGGAAACGTTCCTTGCAAATCGAACTGTAAATCGCCACTTCTGGTTAACATTGATCTGTTATTGGTGGAACCAGTAAACAGTAGAAATCTTCGATGCATATTCGCTCAGTGACCTATAATGGCAACCACTTCAAGTATTTCTACGACTCACAACTCATGGGGTCAGCCAGGAAATGAGATTTGAGGGAAGGGACTGTTCAGGCGAAACGTTGTTCCTTTCGTTACCGTCAGTCCAAATAGGAACTGGAGACAAAACAATCCAGAAAAGATACCAAAATTTCACTTTTGGGGGCGATAATTCAGCGCCGATACTGCGCTGTCTGCACCTCTGTGGCGGAAAAACAATAGAATACCAACGGTGAAAACAACCAACATGCATCTCCACCTTTTGCTTTATGACAAAACGCGAAAGCGTGACTAGTAAATTAATTGGAAAAGCAGATTACCCACGAATATGGCAACGTCGTCAAGATTCTTTACTCGTGATACCTCTGAACTGAGTAGTATAATGTAGTAGGAGTGTAGTAAGTAGTGAACGGGTTGATTCAAAGTGATGCACTTAATGTTTTGCGATTTACGAGTAAGTTAAAGCCTTTGTTTCTCATTCTTGACCCGTCTTTCTGTTGGCACTTATTTCTCTGTACTCTGGTCGAATTCCATCCATTCCTTTCAACAGTTTAACACTCATCTGGACGATTGCCTCAACCGAAACACAATTGCCGAAGCAATCCGGGAAACCCTTCCATCCCAAGACAGAAGTAGTGCGTCTCCCATGACTCAGCAAACATCCCGTAAGACAAAGCGATCGCTTCCGTTAGCTTCTTCGCCAGCCTGGTGAGTCCATACAATTTATAGGAATGTGCTCAAAAAACACCACGCTCGCTACTCCCTGATAGGTCTCTAGATGCGAGTTTGCTTCCAAAAAGGGCGTGAAGTGGATCGCCTTTTGGTTCATTTGTATCGCAAGGTATATACTGTGTGTAGATACAGGTGCTTCCGAGAAGCGAACGTACCGATCACTCATGTGGAACATTGTTCTTTGTGCACATACTAAACTATGGAACCAGTGCTCATTGCTGTGAATCTATTGCAAAGGTGAAATCGATGTGAGTATTTTTAGCCCACGGAATCCGTGCACCAAAGACATCGTGGGACACTGTTACATACCAGGGTACAGCCTAGTTCATTGTCAAAGCCGGTAAATGTGCTGCGCTAGATGTAATTTCTAGCTCAATCCCTAGGTCGCCTTCCCAGTTGGTACTCTGTGGGACCGGTTCGAAGCACACGACTTCCTTCAAAGGAAGGTGACAATTAGATAAAGCCCTTCCAGGTTCACTGCTGGACGTCCGTACCAACTGTGTAAAAAGTACAGTAAAGTTGTGAGAAAAGACTTGCGATATGGAAAGCACAAAAAAAGTAATAACATATGCTAAAGGCCTTCCATATTTTTCATTTGCGAAATCAAAGGCGGATATTGTAGGAAAAAGTTTGTTGGTCTGCTTAACCTCCCACATAGTGGAATTATCTGTTTGTTCTCATTTTCGATAGATCCGCATTACTACTGATGAATGATTCTTCCACCATGCCACCTAAGTTTTGCGGAACAATTTTGAGAATATTATGATTCTGATCACTTCTGTTTGCCGCGGTGTTCGGAATCTGCATTCTGTTGTTTCAGAGGGCAGTCGGAACTAGGGCTAGACAATGTAACCCAAGGTACAAATAAACCGGACACGCTGTACGGTTTTGCACGCAGTTTTCAATCAGTCGCTAGATATCATGTGACCAGCTGACAACTTAATCTGTCATAGAGCTAACAGTACATCTCCTTCATTCGTACTGTCTTAGGTCGTCTCGCCTACTCGTTTATGTTAGCCTTTGGAACCACTGTCTTCATAGGTCCGCAAAAACCAACTTCGTTGACGTGATCGATCAATCAGAATTGTATATAACTTATCACTAGCAGTTATTATGTAGAAGCTGATCCTAATCTCTATTCTACCATCTGTACGTTCCCTCCAGCTCTAAACGAACCAAGGTTGTCCAGATGAACAGAGAAAAACGGCACCGAGGGGGTCCGCTCGATCGATTCGTGCTCCCGTGATCAGCCACGTTTTTTTAGATGGAACCCTATTCTTATATTACCATATTATGCATCAAAATGCATTTACTTTCTACACCGGCTTTTTACCTCCTCCCATCAGATAAGGGTTTTGTACTGTGCCATTCATCATAAAGAGGGTGTTTTCTCGTTGCCAGTGTTTTTGAAGGCCATATGGATAAGGATGCTGATGAAACAGGGGAACCGGATTCATTTCTCACATAGCTCATTTTCACTGGTAGCGCCATCACGCGGTACATAGAAAACCTGCTCTGTCACGATAGGTCATGTGGCCCCCGTAAGTTCGATTTTTAGGTGGTTCCTGATGAGTCCGAAAATAACGACAGATTTACACGATTAGCAGATGAGGCGCCCTATTTTCAATGCTGTGTACAGATGAACTAACTAAATGCATACAAACCAATCAGTCAAACTCTGAAAATACACTGTGAAGCAACACCCAGCCATAAATCCTTCGATTGTCTACTAAACCTCTCTGAAACACCATGAGGCATTTGCTTCTTTCCTCTAACACTCGATTCATTATTCCATTTCGAATCGTGAGAATCGTCTTTCCTTCTCATCGGATTTTGAATGGTTCCACATATCACGACTCAGTCGTTTGTGAACTTCCACTTAGGTAGTTGTTTGTAAAAAATCTCGCGAATATCCACTGTGATTCTTTCACGTATTTATTACCACTAATTCACCCATTGTATACGCGTAACATGACACCAGTGTATCGATCGCAGTACATTTTATCGAGCGCCCATCGCATTCCATCTTTTAAGGAGACATACTACACAGTATACAGGTTTTTTCTAGGATTTTTTCTCAAAGATGTCAAACCAAAATGCTTGTGGAACCTGTTGAAAAGGGTTAGTCGTCTAACGTCCCAAATTCATAGTCCCTCGCAATTCATGGCAGATATTGGAACAAGCAGTCCAGGACGCAGCTTCACACTGTGGTTAAGGAATGTCTGCATTTTCGGATAAACATAGTCGGCCGTTGTCCAGTTGTAGTATGTTAAGTATTATGCTTAAACTAACTTCGGACCATCAGAGTTTGAGGAGATTTGGAAAGTTTATTAAATATTCCATCATGTGAGTGATGTCAATCTATGCTGTTTCAATCAAAATGGTGAACTGCCCCTAAATTGGTTTCCGATACCCAGTTTTTTCGTTCTTACAGTCTCATTTCATAGCGTTAGATGGCATCGGAGGTGGGCGAAATTCTAAAATTCCATTGAGAAATCGCATCCTAATAAAATTGCTCTCAATATGCACTTTCATTTTATTGACTCTTTGAAGTCCCCCCCTTCAACGGTATACCTGTAGGACACAATATGAAGATTTCGCGGACCAAATATAATCGTATAAGTCCTGCCCTGATTCGTCTTTTATGCTGAGAAATATCGAATGCACCTCGGAACATTTCTTCTGAAAGCGAAGGCACCTTGAACAGTTTTTCGTTTCAGCTGAAACCATCCAGTCTACGGAGGATATTCTGGGTGTTATTCCGTCGGTCCTATCTTGTTTTCATATGATATCACTTGTAGCGGAATGACGGCTAATAGTTCCTCCAAAATACACAGTTACGGTGACCTCGATGATGGCATTTGTGTGACCTATAGTTTGGGTATTCACCGATACGAGAAGATGGAATGCTAAAGAATCGAATAAGCGACTCAATATTAGGAATTCCATAAGTTGTCTGCTGCGACGAAATTTCAGCTTGCGTCCGGCATCCGTACCTGCTGATGTTTGATAAGCTAGGACTAAACAATAGGCTAAATTTGCGTAATGCTTGGCCGTTGAAGTCGCGATAAACCCAGACAAAGTTTTAAAGTAATGAACACATGTCTTATGACTGACCTGTTTAGGTCCTTCCGCTGCATTACGCGGTTACGTATTGACTAGCACTATCCTGTCTAAGTGCCAGTCAATCACACTGCTGCTAAGCCGCTCATAGTCTACGGTTAAGTCTTCAAACTACCAAGTGGGAGGTCGCGGATTTAAAACTCCCTGAAAATGCATGAAGTGCGCATGTTGATGATACTCAACAGGTACGAAACAGCTGTACAGTGCTTCTTGGTTTTTCAGCGTAGATTGCCTTCACTTACACTACCATTAAATTATTTGTGCATGGTTGTATAAGGGTTTCTCATTTCTTGGCATTGTATGCAGCTACCTAGATGGTCTATTTCGGATATCCTCATGGAAGAAACCGGTATTTATAACCACTGCGTATGCAATTAGTGTTAATAGGAGTGTCGACTGGTTTTCTTGAATAAACATTACTCATTAGGTTGCTGGCAGACCACGACCAGTTTCACCCTTGTTTGGTCCATTAGGTAGTTGCAGTTCGAAAGGTTCCGTTCAGTTTACGTTCTATTTAAACCCAAATTGTACGCACTTCGCGAACTACAATTATTTCCTGGGATTTGTTCCCCCAGTACAACCAAATAACTTCGCGGAGTATCGAGCGATCTTTGAATGCATCTCTCATCTACCGTGTCTTTTCACCAAATGTACAAGAATGAAACTTTCAGTGGGCTTTCGATGAGTTTTATTGTGCCTTATGAAATGTGGTTCGTTACCTCTTTTGGAGAATTAGCTCACATTCGTGTTAGGCGGTCGGCATCTTCAGTTACATCCTTAGTGCGCATGATATCATAGCTGAAGCTGGAAAAGTCTCACCCATTACTCATGTCCAACAGGTACATCTGATAACATCGATCAAAGTCGTATACATCCAGGATGCACACTTCCCCCGAAAGTGCGGTCATACCACTGTCATATACTGCCATTCCTTTACTAAATTTTTCGACCTCCATAGTTAATTAGGTTTTACTGGGTGTTCTCAAAGTTTTTCGCAGTTCATTTTCCATATAATTAATCCAAATTTGTTTCCCTTTAGAGGGTGATGTATGTGAAGTAGGGAAAACAGTATGGAATAAAGGCTTTCTCGCAGCTGCAGTGTAAGGTCCCACTGTTTGCTTGGCTGACACCACGCTAGGATCTAACTCTTGAACGACAGCCGTCCACGGCATCGTGAATTTTACTCGGGAGAATTGTATGGATCCATACTGTCTAGGGAAATTTGATAGTACTTTTCGTGTAGAGAAAGCAAGGGTAGATTTCGGGGACTTTTAGTTCCTATGACGTGACATCACATTATCTGTCGGCATCATACATCCACTTGCCTACTATGAATATGAGCAGAAGATAGTGGAATGCTTGTATGTTATTGTTGTTGAATAACTAATGCGTAGGTGTGTCAGATGTTTTGTAGAAACAACTTGCCTTGGAAAGACGAGCAAGTCACCCCTCGTAAGCACGCTATGCGGATTGCATCTACATTACCGGATCGTCATGTACCTCGTCCAATCTTTTGTGTCTACCTACGTTCTGGTTGGAAACGTTCCAAAGGTGCTAAGCCATCGACATTATAATGAAGTGTGAAACAACGAACGAATTTTTGCTCCCCGGGATGGGAAACAAATAACAGGCACAAAAAAAGATGTGTTTATGAGATAAACCCTTTTTGCCCACCTATCTACTCAACCTAATAAATCTATCGCCTTCTTGTAAACTGTTGCAGGCGTTTATCCTCAGAGTGCACCGATGTCTTCTTACTGTAATATCTGTGAATGAAAAACTAGAGGCATAAGCCACCTCACCTTAGTGCATGGAGTAAATATAATAATATGCTATTTACCCTTGGGATAATTTTGCACAAAGCGTAGCCTGACCACAATCATTATAGCAGCATCCACAACACACCAAACGCTTTCCTGGCAGCGTGCCAAAACTCTTCTTGTCAACAAGCACACGATTTAGCCCATGAACTTAGGCAGTTGTTTCGAACAAAGTCTCCTATAAATAACTCTTCAGTTCTGATTTTCCATTCTAGCGACTACACAGTTTAACTTTTGAAATCCAGAAATTCGATCAAAGTTTATCTTAAATTGAAAATGTGGTCGAATGAACTTGGAAACACAAGCATCACTGTCGACTTTGTTCAAAATATTCTCGTACCAGATAAAACACTGTACAGCTGTTTCGTTTTTGTTGGGAATCATCAAGGATGCGCATCTCACAGACCCCCAGGGAGATGTGAACTCGCAAACTTCCGGCTATTATTTAACTAAGCAACCGTTCGGCCACTAGCGCCAGCTCACTAATGCCATTAAGTCGCGTTTAGGCAAAATATGACATCATCAACGCTTTGGTCACGAGATTCCATCATGTGGTTGCATTTTGTTCACTTCCTTGGAAGCGATCTTTTGGAAGAAAGATTAATGCGTCTTGTTACTTATGCTCTCCAGTTAGTGACTTATAAATTCTTCTTTTTGATAAATGATGGTCATCCGAAAGAAGCGTTCCTGAAGAGAAAACCACTCTTCTGAAAACTCTAGAAAATACTTCACTGGCGGTGTCCCTCAATCAGTCGAATTACAGCATCAAGATTTCACGCCGAATGCATTCGAATTAAATCAAAATTATTGCGAGTTATCATTTGGTTTGATCTATGAAGGGGACATCTTACAGTTTGAAAAAAACCCCTTCTATTTTTTCAACAGACTGATGAGCTTTGAATCTTTTTACCATTTGACAGCATGTGTGAAGTACATCTGCGTGGTTGCAAAACGGACCCAGTTAGGTACAGTGATAATTTATGCCTCCGATTCCAAGTAGAGCTAAAACGCTATAAAAGGTAACCTGTTTTGTGAATCATCAAAGAGCCAATGCAGCGGATCAACACTTGTGTCAGGAAACCCACTATTGAATAGAATGTACTATCTGTGACCCTTATTTCGATACGAGTTTTGAACATCGACTAACTTTGTATCCAACCTACGCAACGCCGATGCGGTCCGGCAGTGGGAGTTGAGTCAAGACGCAGCAAACAATGTCCGAAATTCAGTAGTTCTTTGGCTATTGTGCTGGTCCTAGTCACATCGGACACCAACGTTGCCTCATCTCACCAAATTCCAACAGGTGCATTTACATGGCGAATGCTATGAATTCAAACAACTAGGCCTGGAACCGATATGATCACTGTACGGCACCACAGTAAACAATAACGGACGAAATAGTGATTTTCAAAGGAATTCCGCTGACCAGGCGGAGAAA